TTCATAATTTAGAATGCTTGAGAAACATGTCAGGTATATGTGCATGTGTGCCCAAAATTCTGACAGGATAGAAAAATGGAGGAAAAGTGATTGTGGCGTGACTGTCCCGGGAGGGGAACTTCCTCCCTCTCCTGAATGTGCATGTACCCTCTGGAGGAAAAGAAAAAAAGAGGAAAATACATGCTTGTGCATACAGCAGATGGATCATAGAAGACTTTAAATAATTTGCTAGAAGGTGTGTGTGCTTACCAAAGAGAGACAGAAAAAGTGAGAGAGCGTCCTCATGAGAGGATGGCCAGACTATAATTCCTTCTCCTCTGTTTCTCCTTTCAGGATGTTGTGCATGTACACATACCCAGTGTGTTTTTCAAGTCACTGGGTCCAAGACCATATCTATGCAGTCAGCCATGTGGGATCCGGCAGCCTCAACCACCGTGCCACCAGCTGGCTCATAAAATAATATTTTTTTTTTAAGTTATGGACCTTAGGCTTCCTGCAGCATGACCAAATAAACTGACAGACTCACCACTGCAAACGGCAGGAATCTGGTCAGGACTACAGGACGGTGCTACCACAAGGAGTCAGTGCAGAGCGCTACATGGAGTAAAAGCAGCTGAGCGCCAAAGCTCGGGTGCTCCTTGCACTGTGTGTTATCTCAACCCTGAGCTCAGCTGGCCGTCCTGGACTTGCCAGTCTGCCTCACTCACTAATGCCTAAGGTAAGCTCCTAAGGGCAGCAAGGGATCAGGCTTTAGGACTCAGGTCCCAGCTTCCGGCTCAGTGCTAACACCAAACAGAAACTCTAAAAATATTAGCTGAACAAAGGTGCTTGCATGCTTAGTTGGCCAAATATTGAGAGATAGAGGAGCCCTTTTTCTATCACATACTAAAAATTCATTGTCATTATTTTTTGTGCATAATATGGATCTGTGTTGCACTTTTTAAATGGGAGTTACATATGTACATAATCTAAACAACCTAGTTACAACATTACTACCTGAAGTACCTTATCGCAGATAATTAGAAGAGATTACGTGTTGGCTTTCTTGCCCAAATACTCTAGTTATGGATCTCCATTAACAACACTCATATCATTACACTTATGGGCTACTGGGCAGTGTACCCTTGAGTTGCTAAGAAGTGATAGATCTAATACATGTACACCAACATTTCTCTAATGTATCAAAGAAGTGCAGACCATTTTTAAAAAAAAAAAAACAAGGAGAGGAATAATACTTTTCTTTTTTACATAATTCTGCCAGAAGTCATGGGCACTCGCTGGAGATACGCACAGAGAGAAAAGGAAAGTGGGAAAGCATCTCCCATTGTGGGGTAGTGTGGTCATGCCGCAATCCCTTCATATCCCTCCTGTTGGGATTTTGGGCATGCACACAAACGTGCTAGTGTGTTTCTCAAGCTGCAGGGTCCGGGACATGACAGTCACATGGGATCCAGCTGTCTTCACCACCACACCACAGGGTGGCCCAAGAAGAATAATACTCTTAAACCATACAGTTCTGCATACTGTAACAGTGAAATAATAATCGGATATCAGAAAGCTTACTTACAAGTGTGAAATTTATTTCAAATAGACGTTTTTGCTAAATTCTTTATGCTGGTGAATCTCAAAGTATGCTGATTATCCAACCATATCCTGCCGAGTGTACAGACAGCCGCTGGACTTCAGTCAGGCTTTTCAGATTAGCATTAGTTATGTAAGGCTACCAGATAGCAAATGTTAATTATTGCTCCAAGATAAATGATCCTTAAGTGTCCTATATGAGTTTATACCTCTGAAAATGCTTACAATATCATAATACTACTTTGCCAGCGTGTCTGGTTGCCAACATGTCTATGCCAAGGTCAACAAGATTTAGTCTCTAGGGCTTCTGTTTCCAAGGAAGTAAATCTCTGAGTTCCCCACTTTGGCTGGATAATGGAATAAGCCAGCATGATTTGAAAGAAACTGATGCCTGAGTCTCCCCCAGCCCTGAGATTCTGACTGAATGGATCTAGGGTAAGACCTGGACATTAGAGCTTTTTCAAGCTTCAGTGATTTTTCTAAAAATTATTTATTTGATTTTATTTATCATCATTTTTTCATTTGCTACAGGGTACATGTGCTCACAAGAGAAAGAGAGAGAGAGAGAGAAAGGGAAAGTGATAAAGCAAGTCACTAGGTCCAGCAGGACTCGAAGCATGGTTGGCCAGGTGGGAGTCCAGTACCTTAACCGTCACAACACCTGCTGGCCCGCTCAAGTGATTCTAATGAGCAAGAAAGTTAAGAACCTTAGAAAGATTTAGGACCTTCATCATTTTTTTCTAGAGACTTTCATCATTTTTGCGTCTTGCTGTGCTGTCGAGGCTGGACTCCAACTCATAATCCTCCTGCCTCAGTCTCTTGAGTAGCAGGGACTAAGGTGTGCACCACAATGCCCAGCAGTATTTTTTTAGCATACCAAGAAAACTCAGAGGGGCAAGTTAAGCCCATCTCTTCTTTCTCCGTTGCTCTTACATCTGTCAGTGAATAAGCTACAACAGGAATTTATGGGACTTTGAGTCTTTTCTACCCCAGATTCTGTTCCTGCTCCTTTCAGCCACTATGGCTTTCTCTTTTTTGTGTGTATGTGTGCATATATGATGTTGTTTGTAATTTCGTCAGAGAGCATGTGTGTTCACCAGAGAGAGGGGGGCACACATGAGAAAGCACTCCCCAAGGGGAATGGTCATACTGCAATCCTTTCCTTTCTATCTTTCCTTCCTTTCAGAATTTTGGGCATGCACACATGCCCAGTAGATTTTTCAAGCCACTGGGTCTGGGACTCAGACCACATGGTTGGCCATGTAAGATCTAGCTGCCTTAATCACCATGCTACTGGCTGCCCCCAGCCTTTTATTTTTTTTAGGATCGGGTCTTATTGTGTGGTGATTCTCCTGCCTCAGTCTCCCAAGTAGTTGGAACCATATACATGTGTTACTAAGCACAGCCTTTCAGGGTGAGCCGGGAATCAAGCCAGGGCTTGCGATGTGGCCTCAGCCTGCAGAGCTGCACACACAGCGCATGCTACTCCCACCATGGGCCAGCCACCATGGTTTTCTATTATGACATTGCTTGAGGGTTTTTTTGTTTGTTTTAAATAATTATTTTATTATTTATTTATTTAAATTTGACTAGAGAGGAACAGAGTGAAAGAGTGAGAGAGACAGAGAGAGAGAGAGGGGCTGGCAAGTGGCATGGTGGTTAAAGGTAGTGGATTCCCACATGGCTGACTGTGGTTCGAGTCCTGGACCTGACAGCTTGCTTTCTCACTTTCTCTCTCTCTCTCTGTCCCTTTCTGGTCAAATTGAGACAAACAAATGAATAAATAAATAAAGTTAAATGGGATAATTCTTTAAAAAAAAAAACAAAAGAGAGAGAGAGAGGAAAAGTAAGAAAGCAAGCTGCAAAGTTAGGGACTTGAACCAAGGTCAGCCATATGGGAGTCCAGCACTCCCAACCACCATGCCATCTGTTGGTCCCTTGCTTGAGGTCTTTAATGTTATTTGGACTTTGGGCAAAACAATCACCTACTAGAAGCTAAGACTGAGAAAGAGTTCCTTCCAGTTTTACAGAAGAACTATGTTCTGGAATAGTCCATATTCACTTCCTTCAGATGCTCATTTCTTAGCCTACAATTGCCCTACTGTGCATGGTGCCTCCATAATCAACCGCCAGGCTCTGTTGACTCAAGCTCTTAACTTCTCTCAAGGCGGTCTCCTCCTTGCCTTCCACATTCTGTTGAGTTAGCTCGGGTCACACCAGCATCTCTCATGTAAAGTCACTTCATTAGCCTTCAAGCTGATCCTTCTCTGTGATTTGACCAACTTCCCTTCTGATCTTTTGAAAGGCAAATATGATGTTATTACTCATAGGTTTAATCATTCTCCATTCCTTTTGGGGTCAAGTCTGCACTTCTCAGGCTCTTCTAATAAACTGTTTGCATTCCTCCACGCATGTCATACAACCTTGAGCCTCTTTGTACTTCCACAGACTCCAAATGCATCCGAGAGATCACTTCTTGGCTGTCCATTCTGAATTATGTGCTCAGCCAGTGAGCACTCCCACAGAGGCCCACACTTACTTCCATCAATCACACCTAACACGCCGCATTACGATTTTAACTCTGACTGACTGTGAGCTTATTCAGAGTGGGCACTGCACCTTTTGTATATTTGTTCTTTGGGTTTAGCACAGGAGCTGTCACATGGTAGGTGTTCAGTGAATATTGTTGAATAAATGCTGCATCACTGTATGTGCCCGAGCTTTGCACACGCTCTT